AAAAAAAAAAGTAAGCTGTAGACTGAAAACATACCAAAAATCTTGAAGTTAACTGACTAGATATTTTTAGCTTGTAAAGACGGCACATGGTATTCAAACGTTGAACAGTAATCTGCCGCAGTTACCCACAAGCCATAGGGATTTCTCTACTTACAATTCCTAATGGAAAAAAAGTTGAACGTGTAAAACGGTTACCGGAGTATTCACTGCCGTTGCTTTTCAATTATCATAAACATCTTGAAGACTACCATAACGAACAGCATCAAAACTTTGGTACCTCCAGTTCTTAGAAGCTTAATCTTCAAGAGTGCCACACGCTATTTTCGCGTCACTTTAGAACGACAAAAAGAGAACTAAACCATAAAAAGCCAAGATCAAGGTATAAAAATCCATCTCACTTTTATATAAAAAGCCTAAAACGTATTAAAATTATTATTCTACTGCTATAACCTCCCTTTCACTCATCCATCACAAACTTCAACAGAAAAAAGTTCTTTATCACTCAGAAAAATTTGTGAAAAAACCCATAAAGTAAAAGCAAGAAAGCAGACTTTAATAAAATCCCCCATTCTTCACTAATAACTTTTGTATAAGCCGACAAAGCGCAAAGAAGTCTCTGTACGGCAGAAAATCACAAACCAAAACACTTCCAACTTTTTTGTTCCTTATCATCTGTTTCAAAATCACGTTCCGCTTGCCTCAATACCAACCAACAAACTCTGCCAACTTTGTCATACTATGATCTACTTAGGCATATCCAGAAATATTCTTCAGCTTTCTTAAGGTAACAACCAAAACTACTTTGTAAGACATCGAATCTATCACGCAAATTAGAAAAAACTTAATACAAGAAGAATATATATAGACATATAGAGAGAAAATACCTGAATCCTTCAAGAAGCAAAAGCTGAGGTAACGAGCATACAAACTTAGAATGCAGCTTTATAAACAACGGTCGCGCAATAGGTACAAAAGTTCACGAGTGAAATATTGCCTTGAGCAATATTTCTCCAATTTACAACCCAGTAACTTTGCTACTTTGACTTGAAGAAAAT